GTTGAGCTGTTGTTCAGCATCTTAGCTGTGGAGGGCAGTGTCACTGGCCCTCATATGTGGGATCCGAACCGGGGCCCTCTGGTGTTCCAAGCCAGCTCTTAACCAATGTGCCACTTGGCTGGCCCAGTAATATGTGTTTTAACAGAAATTTACATTGTGTGCTGTTCTGTGAAAAGGCTGTGTATGCAAAGTGGTCCCCAAAAGCCGAAGGAGCCCAGAGACCAAAAAACGAGACAGACAAGTCCAGGTTGTTGGTTTAGAGAATTTAATAGGGAACTTACGTGCAGAAATGGGTCCTGGGCAGCTGCAGGATGTTCAGATCGCGACATCTTTCACCTTCTAGACCACCTTCTTTTTTCCACCTTACAGATGGGCCTATGTGCTAGAAAAGCAGTATATGGATAGTCGGGGTGTGGGGGGGTGAGTGGAGACCAAAAGTCCAGATACCTGCAGGCCCTGGCAACAGGGTCAGCTAAGGGATAGAAAACATCTAGGGCTTCTTGCCCCAGAGGAAGTAATGGGAATTCTGTTACTAGCCCCAAACCTCTGTACACATTCCAGAGCCCACCCAGAGGTCAAAGGATTGGGTTCATTCACTTAGAAGTTAAGGTGGCAGGTTAGCTTCAAGATGGAGTCAGCTTTTCAAAATAGAGTCAGCTCTGTCCATACATGTGTGGCCACAATAGACGACAGAACCCCACTCTACCTAAGGGACGGGATACCAGGTCAGGAACAGCCTTTCTTACGAACTTACACTTCAGTGGACCCAGGAAGGGAGCATACTTGGTCATCAGGTTGTAAGATATGCCAGAGAAAGAGGCTGATGTTGGAAGGACTTGCCAAGTAGAAGAAGCAACATGTACAAAGGCTCAGGAGGCAGGAGGTGGCGTGGGCTCTTTAGGGAACAAGTAGATCAAGTAGGAAACTGAGCTGGCTAAAACGTGGAAAGGTAGGCAGCGTTTGTATAAAGACATGCTTATGTGTCATATCACAATGGGAGTTTATTCTGTCACTGGGGAAGAGTGTCCTTACATTATTATAGAGAAGGGGAGGAGTCACATGATCAGATTATCATTTTAGAAAAATACCTGTGGTTGTGTGGAATTCAGGCTAAAGGAAATGAAACTACCATGTTTTGGAAGAGGGGCTGAGGGCAGACTGGGAAAGACTTGGTTATATCTTGTATCACCATGTTGCACTCAGAAACTTTATATCCTTTTATTAATAACTGAATGTTTTACAACACACCAAATGTACTTCAAATAAAAATTCTGACCCATAGACTTAAGAATGCTAAGCTTTTTGAGAGTCCTGATTTAAAACTGTGTACAGCGCCGGCCGAGTGGCACGTTGGTTAAGAGCTGGCTTGGGATGCCAGAGGGCCCCAGTTCGGATCCCACATGTGGGCCAGTGATGCTACGCCCTCTACAGCTAAGATGCTGAACAACAGCTCAACCTGGAGCTGGGCTGCCGCGAGTCGCCGGCGACTCCTCCCCTATTTCTACCTAATAGGAGTTGTTTTTCTCTGATGCCAGGCATGCAAGAAGCCTCAATGAAGCTCACCGAGTCACTGCATGAAGTCTATGAGCCTGACTGGTATGGGCGGGAAGACGTGAAGATGGTTGGTGAGGTAAGAGCCAGGATGGCAGCACACAGGAGGCCTGAGGCGGGGGGTGGCTTCTGCAAGGCTCCCACCAAGTCCTCACTCAGCCTGTCCCCTGGTCCACCCCTTCCCCAATCCCCACACTTCTCAGCCTTAATCATGACAGGACAGCATATACCCAGAAGGCAACATACAATTCCTTTACCCAGATCATCTCAAATTCAGTTATTAGTGAACTGATCATTAGACCACATGGGTAGAAATCTGTGGGTTAAAGATTATTTTTCCTCAAAATAAGAATAACATTTTTCTGTCCCTTACTGCACATCAGAATAGCAGCAGAATGGGTGCGCAATATGATGATCTGTGTACTGCCCTCACCTCTGCATGCTGCTCCCCCACCCTCTTGGAAAGCATGGGCAGGAGCTGGGAAGAGCATCTATTGATATTTCACTTACACACCAGCTAGTCCTTTCCTGGGCTGCAGAGCCCGAGTGCAGATGCAGCTGGCCTGCTAAAAGGGGCGTAATTTCTGCAAGGCTTAGTCCCTAGACACGTCTTAACACCTGAAATTCAACTTCTAGCTGAGGGCCATCTGGAAGTGATCACATGGGTGTCGCTCCTTTGAGGATGGTGGAATGGGGTGGAGACCAGGTGCAGCTCTGCAGGATGTTGGCGAAGTCCTTTACCCTTCTCGGGCTTTGATTTCCTTCTCTGTAAAATGAGAATAGTAATCGTACTGACTAATAACACATTTGAAGCCTTTGTACTTATGTCACTGACATAGTGCCCAGAACATGTGATTATTACTGATATTAGAAAGCTACCGGACAAGTTCTCTCATGTTCAAGTTCTTCTTAAAACAAAGAACAGTAGTTTGTCACACCCCACTTCATGAGAGCTCATTGCTGCTTATTTAGGCACAGAAGGCACAGCCACCACAGCTCAGGGGAAGGTCTGATACATGATGAGCTGACCGTCTATGCAGCCTATGGAAAGATGGGTTCACAGTGCAGTCCCAGGCAGCTTCATGAGAATTCCAATATCCCCACTTTGATCTTTATAATCTCGTGATGACTGAGAAGAAAAAAACAAAACAAAACGGAGATTTATTTATGAGGAAAGCTCTTCTTGGCTCTCTTACCTCTTGAAAATGTTCAGGATATGAATATGGCAAAACTAACCTCCACACACTATTTTCCAATGCAGTTATTAAGTAATTACATCTTCTCACATTTCTTCAATAACAAAAACACAGTGTTCTAACATCATATTAAAAGCTTAACTCATATTGTAAATTTCTGACTAATCATGTATAATTTAAAAATTGTCATGAAATACAGAGTTTTTAAGGGAATAATAGACACTCATGTTATTGGCTTTTCAGAACACTGTACTATGTTCTTGGTGTGGCAGATGCCACTGTTGACATTTATTCTGAAGGAACCAGCTGCTCTCCTACCTTGGTCCCCGTGGCTGCCAGGGTTTTGGAATCTTCAGCTGCAGAGCCAAATATGGGTCCTGATGGTAAAGGAACCGAACACTGCATGTTCAGAGGGTCTACTCACATTAGAAGAGGAGGCTTTTTATATAGAGGACTTACTATTTTTTGTTTGAATAAAATGATTGATTTGGGATCTGTAATAAATAGAATTAGTATTTGAAGTGTGAAAAGGAAACAAAAGGAAATAAACCTCCCCAAAATTGTTTTGAACAGGATAGATACTTACATCCCTCCCATAAAGGAGACTTTGGAGGTGGGGGCCCTGGATGGTGTGGTGAGCCTACAGGCACCCGGGGCCCGTGGATGCCATCCTTGCTGCCTCCTCCAGGTTCGAGATGACTCTGAGCCCTGGGCGTCAGCTCTTGTTTCTGCGTTCTTGTCGGCAAGAAGGAGGGTGCAGGGAAGATAAAAGGCTCCTTTTAGGGACACTCTCAGAACTTAGTCTCAGGGCTGCACTTAGCTGCAGTGGAGGCTGGGAAGTGTAGTCTGTGTCCCAGGAAGCCATGTGCCAGCTAAAACTGGAGGTTCCATTACTAAGAAGGAAAGGATAGATACTGTGGAACAAGCAGCAGATCCTGTCTGGAGACCCTGAATATTTTAATACAAGGAGAAATGTGGAGATTATGGTCTTGCACACCTGCTTTGTGACTGGGATTCTGTGAAGCCCTTTGCACTGTCAGCTAACTTAATTGGGGAAATTGAAACTCGGGAAGATTCTAGTTTCCACAGTCACACAGATGGAATATAAGCTCTGTTCTGGCGAGGCAGCCTGAGTAATAGACAGATCATGAGCTCTGAATTCAGAGACACAGACCTGGGTTGAAACCAAAGTGTGTCATTTATCAACTGCATGACCATGGCCAAGTTATGTAACAACTCAGGCTTCAGTGTTCTCTTCTGTGTAGTAGCAACAAGAAGGCTTTCCTCGTAAAGCTTTTGGGAGAATTAAATGATCGCGCATGCACGTACACGTCAAGTGTTTAACCGAATGCCTAGACAGTTAGAAGTAGCAGCAGTAATACTAATACCTAATATTCATTGTGTGTTTATCATAATTGATGTTCACAATGGCAGAGCCTTTCCCAACAGGATTAAATTTTCTGCTCTCTCTGTGGAAGCTGCAGCAAAGGTTTATTGTTTATTTGAAGTGGTTTCTAGTTTCATGGGTGGCTTTAGAAGGAATCCACGTGGAATTCTTCACAGTCTCTTAGGCCTCAAAGACCATCTCTATGGATCTTGTCACCTTTTGAAGCTTGGACATGCTTTATTAATGCAGAATCAGAAATACATTTTTTAATGAGCTGAGCCTTAGGTAGCCTGTACTGTAAATTAGAACTTGTAGATACATGGCCTAGAAATCTTATTGTATAATTTAAAAATCCACAATTTAAAAATTCTTTCTGGCATCTTCTATCTGGGGAAATATTGCTTATCAAATTTGTTTAGTTTTAGAAATTTTTAGAAGTTTGTTGAAAGGTATCCAATTAAATTGATTCAGCAGTTATCTCTTCATTTCTCTTTTTCTTTTAGAAATGTGATGTGCTGTGGGAAGACTTCCATCAAAAACTAGTGGATGGGTCCCTGCTGACACTGGATACCTATCTGGGCCAATTTCCTGACATAAAGGTATTTTACTCTGTGTCTATAAAAGGAAGAATTGAGTGGTCCCATGTACTTACTGAAACACAGGCAAGAGGAATCAAAAGTCAAAGACAGTTGGTAACTTTTCATTTATTTAAGTATGGGATTTTTATCTTGTTCCTATCAGTTTGAAATGAAATGTCATTACAGAAATCACTTTTTCCCCTTTAATTAACTGCTTCAGCTTTTATTTCTCTACAAAAGTCTTTTTAATTTGGTAGATGTAAAATTGGAAATCAGAGATACCAAAAAAAATTCCAATCTTCTTTATGCTTAAACCTTTTTATTATGTATCATTTGACAGAATTTCCATTAGAATAAACAGTGGTAAAAAGGAAAGGAGAAACTTCATTGCAAATATCAGAGCAAAATCTGATATTTCCTTGTGTACTGTTTATTTCCGTATGTTCATAGCGTACCTAAATATTTTTTTCTCTCCTTGAAATTTTCAGGTTAAAATTGAACTGCCATTGACCCTTGAACCACATGGAGGTTAGGGGTGCCAACCCCTGCTCAGTCGAAAATCCATGTATAACTTTTGACATCCCATAAACTTAACTGCAGTTGTCCTTCAGTATCCACAGGGGATTGGTTCCAGGACCCCCACAAATACCAAAATCCGTGGATGCTCAAGTCCCTGATATAAAATGGCGCAGAGCACTGTGTATAGCTGACCCTCAGCATCCGCGCATTCCCGACCACAGGTCAAAAATACTGTTTTCCATCCGTGGTTGGTTGAATCTGCAAATGTGAACCTGGAGGGTACAGATAGCCAACTGTATATTTATTGAATAAAATTCTCCGTTAAGTAAATAGATCCATGCATTTCAAACCCGTATTCTTAAAGAGTCAACTATATTAAGGTATAAGCATTTCAAATACATTTGCATCTGGATCTCAAGTATCTGCTCTAAAACATTTGTCCTATGTGATACCTGGATACATTGAAAGGGAAATATACAAGTGAAGGTTTGAATATTGTAGATTTGGAATTGACTCTGGAGGTAAGATGGTTTTTAAATCATCTGGGCTGTATATAGCAAATGGTAGCATTAACAGAGCTGTCCCACGATCCCCATTGTTTTCCCCACTCAAGGAGGGGTGCCAGGTATGATATCCTTGGACTGTTTCTTCTGTAGGCTGAGAAGGCCATGAACCGGCATCTGTGGGCATCTGCAGCATTTTGCCAGGTGACTTCTGATGGGCGGGTCCATATTTACGTGGCCTTCTTTGTAGCCACTGTCAAATACCAGGGGACTAGCTGTAGTGATGTGCACTGGCCTTGGCCATAAAACATAGTGCAGTCTTGGCCAAAAATTCATTCATATCAATAAATTAGTTTACTTAGGCCCACACAGAATGCCTAATGCTAGTTGGCCAACATTGAAAGTGTGTTTTGGGCCACCAGGGCCACCAGACAAGAACCTAAGTAGATCAGATTAGATACATTACCCTTGTTGGCAAAATGGCACAGAGAACGTATCCAAATTCTCATGATGTGGTCATAATAGGCAGCAGAAGGCTGTACTGAGCCATTCCATAAATACATCCTAATTAAAAGGTATAAGTCAGTTTTTTTTAATTAATTAATTTATTTTAAAATTTATTATTATGAAAAACATTTAAAAATAAATTGGTTTCAGCTGTACAACACAGTGCAATAGTTATACTTCTTACCCCTCAAAGTGACAACCCCCCTCCCGCAATCTGCCACCCTATTTCCCCCCATATCATACATATCTTACAATTCCCTTGACTTCATTCCCACACTATATTCCACGTCCCATGACAAGATATCTTGTCATGGGACGTGGAATATAGTGTGGGAATGAAGTCAAGGGAATTGTATATATAAATATATATAAATATAACTAAATATATATATATTTAGTTATAGTTGACATACAATATTATACGACATCAGCTTCAGGTGTACAGTGCAGTGATCAAGCCTCTACCCCATCCATGAAGCGGTCTCCCTAACAAGACATGTGACCATCTGACACCCTACAAAATATTTACAACATTATTAATTATATTCCTCAAACTGTCTTTCCTGTCCCTGTGGCAATATTGTAGTTATGTATTTATGCTGTCTAATCCCTTCCCTTTCTCCCTCTTCCCCACTCCCTCCCAACTAGCAACCATCAGTTGTTCCTCTATGTCTCTAACACTGTATCTGTTTACTTTGCTCGTTCATTCACTTTTTTTAGATTCCACAAATCAGTGAGATCATATGGTATTTGTCTTTCTTTCACTGACTTATTTCACTTGACATAATAGTCTCTAAGACCATCCATATCATTGCAAATGGTACAATTTCCTTCTTTATAGCGGAGTAATACTCCATTGTATAAATGTACTACAGTTTCTTAATCCAGTTTACTACCGATGGGCATTTCGGTTGTTTCCAAGTCTTAGCTATTGTAAATAGCACTGCAATAAACATAGGGGTGCATGTATTATTTTGAATTAGCATCTTGGGTTTCCCTGGATAGATACCCAGGAGTGGAATTGCTGGGTCATAGTTCCATTTCCAGTTTTTTGAGATACCTCCATACTGATTTCCATAATGGCTGCACCAATCTGCAGTCCCACCAATAGTGCACCAGGGATCCCTTTTCTTCACAACCTTGCCAGCACTTGTTGTTTGTTGATTTATTGATGATAGTCATTCTGACTGGAGTGAAGTGGCATCTCATTGTAGGTTTTATTTGCATTTCTCTAATGATTAGTGAGGTTGAACATTTTTCATATGCCTGTTGGCCATCTGTATGTCTCTTTAGAGAAATCCCTCTTTATAGTCTCTGCCCATTTTTTAATTGGGTTGTTTGTTTTTTTGGTGTTGAGTTGAATGAGTATTTTATACATTTTGAATATTAACTCCTTATCAGATATATCATTGGAAAATATCTTTTCCCATTCAGTAGGCTGCCTTTTTGTTTTATTGATGATTTCCTTAGCTGTGAAAAAACTTTTAAGTTTGATGTAATCCCATATGTTTATTTTTTCTTTTATTTCTCTTGCCCGAGGGGATATCTCAGAAAAATATTACTGAGGGTAATATTTTTACTCCCTGTTGCCTGCAAATTTACTCCCTATGTTTTCTTCTAGGAGTTTTATGGTTTCAGGTCTTACATTTACGTCTTTATTCCATTTTGAATTTGTTCTCATATATGGTATAAGTAGGTGGTCCATTTTCACTCTTTTGCACGTTATTCCAATTTTCCGAGCACCATTTATTGAATAGACTATCTTTACCCCAATGTAAATTCTTGCTTCCATTGTCATAGATTAAATGACCGTATATGGATGGGTTTATTTTTGGGCTCTCTTTTCTGTTCCATTGGTCTATGTGTCTGTTTTTATGCCAGTACCATACTGTTTTGATTACTGTAGCCTTGTAGTATGATTTGATGTTGGGTCACGTGATACCTCCCACTTTGTTCTTATTTCTCAAGGTTGCCGTGGCTATTCGGGGTCTTTTATGGTTCCATATAAATTTTAGGATTTATATGTTCTGTTTCTGAGAAAAATGTCCTTATTAGTTTAATAGGAAATCCGTTGAATCTATATATTCCCTTAGGTAGTATTGACATTTTAACTATATTAATTCTTCCTATCCATTAACATGGTATGTATTTCCATTTATTTGTATCTTCTTGGATATCTCTCTTCAATGTCTTATAATTTTCTGAGTACAGGTCTTTTACTTCTTTGGTTAAATTTATTCCTAGGTGTTTTATTGTTTTTGAGGTAATTGTAAATGGGATTGATTTCCTGATTTCTTCTTCTGATAGTTTATTATTGGTGTATACAAATGCAACTGATTTCTGAATGTTTATTTTATATCCTACTACCTTACTAAATTCATTTACCAGTTCCAACAGTTTTTTGGTGGAGTCTTTGGGATTCTCTCTATATATTATCTTGTCATCTGCATATAATGACAATTTTACTTCCTCTCCAATTTGGATGCCTTTTATTTGATTTTCTTGTCTGATTGCTGTGGCCAGAACTTCCAGAACTATATTGAATAGAAGTGGTGAAAGTAGGCAGCCTTGTCTTGTTCCTGATTTTAAGGGGAAAGCTTTTAGCCTTTCCCCATTGAGTACAGTGTTTGCTGTGGGCTTATCATATATGGCCTTTATTATGTTGAGATATGATCCCACTATTCCCACTTTGCTAAGAGTTTTTATCATAAATGGCTGCTGAATTTTGTCAAATGATTTTCTGCATCTATTGATATGTTCATATGATTTTTATTTTTCATTTTGTTAATGTGATGTATTACGTTAATTGATTTGCGGATATTGAACCAACCTTGCATAACTGAAATGAATCCCACTTGATCGTGGTGTATGATCTTTTTAATGTGACGCTGAATTCGGTTTGCTAGTATTTTTTTGAGGATTTTTGCATCTATGTTCATTAGGGATATCGGCCTGTAAGTTTCTTTTTTTGTAATATCTTTCTGATTTTGGGACCAGAGCAATAAAATGTGCTTGGGAGCCTTCCCTCCTTCTGTATTTTTTGGAATAGTTTGAGTAAAATAGGTGATGATTCTTTTTTGAATGTTTTGTAAAATTCACCTGTGAAGCCATCTGGTCCAGGAATTTTGTTTGTTGGAAGCTTGTTGATTACTGATTCAATTTCTTTGGTAGTTATCAGTCTGTTCAGAGTTTCTGTTTCTTCTTGGTTCAGACTTGATAGATTGTATGCTTCTAGAAATTTATCCATTTCTTCCAGATTGTCAAATTTATTGGCATATAGTTGATCATAGTTATTTCTTACAATTTTCTGTATTTCTGTGATATATGTTGTCACTTCTCTTTCATTTCTGATTTTATTAATTTGGGTCCTCTGTTTTTCTTGGTGAGTCTGGCTAAGGGCTTGTCGATTTTGTTTATCTTTTCAAAAAACTAGCTCTTGGTTTCATTGATCTTTTGTATTTTTTTTTGGTCTTTATTTCATTTATTTCTGCT